TTACGGTAGTCAACACAAAATCTTGTTTGACCATTCTTTTTGCCAACCAAAACGATAGGACTTGCCCAAGAACTTTCACTGGGTATGGCAATCCCATCTTTTAACATATCGGTCAAAAGTTTATCAACTGCAACTCTTTCAGCCATAGCAATTGGGTAATACTTTTGATAAATCGGTGGATGATCTCCAGTATCAATTGAATGTACTGCATCCGGGATGCATCCAACATCATTCGACTCTTTGCTGAATACATCTTCAAATTTGCTCAAATCAACAGTTGCGATTGAGAGTTCATTCATCTCTGCATTCGGAATGCTCTCGTCTCTCAATTTACTTTTATGCACAACTCTATTTGAAGCTGGATCGAATACAAATTCACTGTTAATTCGTCTCCTTGTTTTTATCACATCAGAATGTGGTTTACACAAGTTGATGACTTTCTTATCTCCAAACATTAGTGTTATGTGATGGCGGTTGCAAAAATCAGCGCCTAATAAAACGTCCATCGTTAATCTCTTCAAAACAATAAATCGAATTGGAATAATATGTTTATCAATAAACATTTTGCATTCAGTGTAACCATGCGGCATGCATGACCTTGTGTCTGCCATTGTCACCATACCGAAACTCCATGGCTTTAACTCCAATCCACACTGAATTCTGAATTCATCGCTCATTAATGATACTCTCGCACCGGTATCAATTAATGCATTTGTCCTTTCACCCTTAATCTCGACAAGTAAGGTCGGCAAGGACACTTCTCCAATGAAGTGATGTAAAGTTATCGGAGGACTATTCACATCATTAGAATGAATGGTTATCTCTCGAGAAATTGTTTCCCAATCATCCTTAAAAGACCTCAATACATCAACTTCTTCTTCTGGATTCTCAGAATCCTTTTCAACTGGTATTCTCGGAATACCTGATGTTCCCGGAACATCATCTCTTGATACTCCCGGAGTATCGGATGTTCTCTGAACATTCTCAACATTCGCTGTATTAACGACAGCGTTCCTTTGTCCTTTCAATTGCGATGCATTCGCCCTTGCTCTTGCAGCATCGTAGGTATCAGGACAATTTCGCTGGTAATGACCAGTCTTCATACAATTATAACAGGTTACATTTGTTGGATCACGTCTTCTGAAAAATGGCTTACGTTTCTCTTCAGGAGATTTCTTTTCAGACTGCGTTGGCGATTTCTGGTTTGATTTCGAATCAAACTTCTCAGTTTTCTTGGCTTTGGTAAATGAGACTAACTCAGGGTTCAGCCTCTCATTGACCGTATCATTAATATCAATGATTTCTTCGAGGGCTTCCAATGTCCTATTACCACGCAAGCCAGTTGCAATAATGTTTTTCATACCAGGTTCTAACCCTCTTAGTACACTATCGATGATCTCATCTTGTGACATATCAGGATCATAGTCCATACACAATGATAACATTTGAAAGTAATACAAAGATAATCTTTCATCCTTTTGTTGAACCCGGTTCATCATTCTCAAGAACGCCAAATGTCTATCTCCAGCTTTATGATAAGTTTTCAGAAATTGCTCTTTGAAGGTTGCCCATGTGAAACCTTTCTCAAAATATTTGGGGCCATACGAATGCCAATACCAAGTCGAAGCAGGACCTTTCATGCACGTACCAACTCCTCTAACTAATTCAGCTTCAGTCCAATAATTTAAAGCAGCAGCTTCTTCATAAGCTCTTAACCAGCTTCTAGCTTTTTCGTGTTCTCCATTGAACGGAGGCAAAGGTGCAGGCTTGATAATAGCGGGTCTTACTCTCTCACTTTCAGGGTTAGGTAGATTCTCAATAAAAGAATGAAATTGAATTCTTGACTTACGAGAATCGGATTCTCCCACTGTTGAGTTTGTTATATTGACCGTATTATCCATTAAATCTGCAACTGTCGGTTGTTCAGGAGTTAAGCCAGCTTCTTTTACTCTGATTCGATGAATTAAGGTTGCATGATCTCCCAAGGTCGTTCGAATTTCTTTTAAATCTTTAGACTGTTTATCAGCTGTAGCCGCGACTTGTTCTTTGAAATGTTTATAATCTTCAGTATGTTGCATAAACTTTTCGATCAGGAAATTCAATGATTCCTGGAGAGTTAGGGGTTTCTTTGGGTTATCGTCGCCAGCCATTGGGATCCACCAAGAGAGAATTCTCGGAATTCTAATTACGTTGGGTAATTCCGAATTACCAATCCACCAATTTCCCCCTCACTTAAATAAAGACACCAACAAATTAACAGGATAACTCGCTATTCACAAAAGAAAAACCAAAATCGAACATCATCTCCACCAAATGTTGTATAACTAATGGCTCCAAGCCTGAAACACTAATGTCTAAGCTATTTTCCAAAGCCTCAGCTTTATAGCTCTAGAATCTCGATTCCTGACTCAACCCGGTTGAGTCAATTTACTCACAATTCAACTCGGTTGAACCTAAGTTCAGAACTTGAACCAATGTAGTTATCACAATATCACAAATTACGCGAATAGTCCAATGACTATTATAACAATGATTCACAATAGAATCTCCAACCAAGTTGGAACACTGAGTATTCCCGGAATACTCTTTACACGATGAGAAGGTTCCAGGAACCTAATGAAGCACTTTTGACACACTTGATTAGTCAATTACACTATTTAATACTTAACCAAAGGTTCTCGTAAAGGCTTAGTGAATCACAATTAGTAGCAAGTATTTATACAATTTAGAAAGGATATTACAAAATAAGGAAATACTTTAGAATAAGGAAATACCAACTGTATTTCCATTGACAACAGTAAATGATGGCAACCGGGTTGCCATCCACACATTTGAGCGCGAACCTCAATTTATCCAACAGACGTTTCAACACATGCAATGATTCATTAGCGAAACTCAATTTAAGAAGCTCCATGAATGATTCAATTTTATCTAAACTAAATTATCAGCTGATAGAACTTTTAAACGATATTGGCCAATGGAATAACGATACAAAGTACTTGTTCCAATATTGTGTCATAACTAGCTCTTTTATTGGTAACTTTGCTTGTTTCGTTGGTTTTCTTTATGGCTTTTCACCTGACACCATAACAAGAACTGTGGCTATTTTTGGCATTTCGCAACACATGCTAGTTTTCATTTTGACCTATTTAGCCTCACTAATCCATTCTGAGGTGAGTTTATTTTTGTTATCAAATTGTTATCTTTCACGAGCTTTTGTTACTTTCTTTAGTCCATCAAGATTCGAAGATGCTATTGCAAGCTATTATTAAAAGGGAAACTTAATGAATTGAAATTTCAATTAAAAGTAAGTGCCACACGAATTGATATTTTCATGGAAAAACTAATCAAATGATTTCCTCACTAGTCAATAGAAATTTTGGATCGTCTTGACAGCAATTTCATTGGGGTTCACTTGGGTGATTTTGGTATTATTAAAAAATCTACTTGCATCATTGTAAGTGCGAATTGCCTTATCCTCAAGCAAGATGTCACGGCACTTTGCCCTATGTATTGATCGATGAGAGCACTTCTCTAAGTTATCAATCAACTCAGCAAAAGCATATAGCTGCGAATTATGTATAAATAACTCCCCAGAGTATGCAACTTTCGATTTTATTTCTGAATAAGCACACTCTGCTCATTATAAGCTTTCGATTGATATATGGTTCAATTGACTCTGAATTTGGGCTGAAAATCGCACATTTTGACTTTCCTCCTAAGAGCATTTCAAAAATTTTTGACTAAAAAGTCGAAAACATAAACAATAGTACTCATGAGATTCTAAGTGGGAAGCAAATATGTCGTTATTCAGTTAATATATTTGAAGTGCCATCAATTCATAAAAGCCATTCTCCATTAATCCGCGTCTCACACACTTTTTTGCTGTTCACTGGAATTCACTGTTGATGATGATTGTGGTCTTTTCTTTACAGTTACTATTGGAAAATGCAAGCTTCCTCATGCTTCTATCATGCAATGTACGCTCATTCAATTGATTCAGTTGACATACTCAAAGCACCAAAAATGGCTTCTTTCAAAACCGTATAATATTACATAGGTCCAATATATTTTCTGGCATCTTTTTACGTTTGCATGAGCATTGAAAAATTAAATGATGTTACAAAAATTTCAACTGACGCAAAACAAATCGCCTACCTCTTCTATGTCCGTTACCATTTATCGATTTGTGCTGAAAGATTTCGCCCATTGAAATGAATAGTTTTTTATCAAATACTTTTATTCGATCAATGTGTAAACAGACAATTACACAAACTAGATTAAAGTTATGGACTGGCTAGCATGAAACTAATATGATTTTTTAATCTAAATCAGAATAATCATTGTGATCTTTTCTTTGCAATTGAAATGCAAGTTTTATGCTTATATCATGCAATGTTAGTGCATTTATTTGACTCAGTTTGACTTGGAATAATCATTATTGATTATCATTATCCGATAATTGATAGCATATTACTTGTTAAATGATCAAATATTCTGAAATCTAGATCATTGATCAAATATTTTATTGGTTTAAATGAATTTTTACTCGATGACTCTATTCAAACATTTAATTTAAACATCAATTCAATTTGCTACATCAAGTAGAGATGCACAATACTTTCATGAAGTATTGATTGATATTGGTATTGGTCGACCGAGTATTGATTTATTGAAAGTATTGAAATATCAAAAATATTGTTTAAGTATTGGAAGTATTATTGTCGATCTATTATTAGTTTCTCAGAATATGAATGTAAAGTTCAAATAATACATTCAGATAGTGAATCTAACAAGGGAACTGTCAGAATTGTTAAGCACTGATTTTAGTAATTAATATCTCAAATTGTTGGTAATGATAAAGTTATAAAAAGTGAAGTTTATTTTTTCTGTCATCATAATAATTAAGCGCAAATCAACGAATTACCTTTTTGGCCCACTAAGCGTTATATATCAATGATCCCTTTGGGCCAACGCCTGTTTTCGGTTTCAACCCCGTTCTTTGTCCAGATATTTAAGCAACTTTATTTGAGTAGTTTTAAAAAGTCAATTTCGAATAAAAATTTTATTGTTTCAATTGGATTATTTCATCAAAAATCAAGGTAAGGCTAAATCCTATGTTTTGATTGTTTTTAAAAGTTTGCAATCGTTTTGAATATTATTTGCAGATGCATTTCTGTGCTTCAAATGTTATCCAATGCTTGACAAGACTATCCAGAGGTGAAGAGCCCGATGTTAATGGAGAAGAACTTGCTTTGGCGAAAACATTTCATTCAATTATGCTGGATGCTCAACTAAACAAAAACATTGAAATCCTCGATGAAGATGATTTGGAATTTGTTGAATCGGAGGAAGAAGAAGAATTTGTTATGACCAGTGACGAAGTGAGGGTTTACGATGGTTTTTCACTGGATTATATTACTTCAGTTTTAAATTGGATCGATTCAAGGAAAAATAGACCCTCAAATGAAACCATCATGAAAAGATATACCAGAATAAAAGCTCCAATCTACATTACACGCTTCCGAGAATATTATGCCCAAAATGGAACCAGGAATGAAAAGATGAAAAAAGTTACTTCAACAGTGTTTGACAAATTTAAGCAAGCTCGTGTAGCTGGTTTGGCTATCCATGATGTGACTATAAAGCTTTGGGCTATACAAGCATCAAGAGCTGTCAACTTGGAAGATTTTAGAGCAAGTGATAGTTGGATAGCTCGTTTTAAGCGTAATAACAAAATTGTTTCCCGACGAGTTACTAAATTTGTAACAAAAACCAATTTGTTAAACCATGAAGAAGTAGAAGCTAATGCTACAGCTGTTATTGTTGAATTGGGCGAATACAAAAGCCAGAATGGAATAAGTGATGACCAAGTGTATAATGCGGATCAATCAGGAATAGCCTACGAATTACATACGGCTCGAACCTTGTCCCACCAAGGAGAAAAGGACACCATCGGGTTAGTCCGAAATACAAATGCTAAAACTCACTCATACACTGTAATGCCTTTTGTTTCGATGAGTGGAAATATTGGTGAGAAAGCTTTGATTTGTCTGAAAGAAACAAATGGTGAATTTGGGCCTCAAGTTCAAGCTAGATTGTTCAAGCCGGATAATTTATATGTCACTTGTTCTGGATCAGGAAAAATGAACACAGCAATGATGCGGAAGTTCATTACTGAAGTCTATTCTCCATCAGTTGCTAACCATTCAGTTCTTGTAATCGACTCTTGGACTGGTCAAAAAAACGAAGATCTTTATAAAATTGACGGTAAACCAATCAAGACATTCACTATACCTGCTGGTGCAACTGGTTTTATGCAGCCACTCGACCTATACTGTTTCCGACAGTGGAAGACATTTATCAAAAAGTTTCAGGAGCGAGCATTGATGGATCAAAATCCAATCGTTTTACATGATAGAAATAATATCATCAGAATGAATTCTTTGGTTTTGAATCAGTTTCAATCTCCTCATTTTCGTAATATGTTTAAATACGCTTGGTCCAAGGGTGGATTTGATGTTCAAGTTGATGCTTTTCAAGGATTGAATGATATTTGCTTCGCATTCAATGATTACATTTGTGAAGCTTGCAAAGCAAGAATTACATTCGTAAAATGTTCATGGCCTGATTGCCGTAAATGTCTTTGTCAAAAATGTTTCTTTGAAGATTATCACTATCATAACGTTGCAGAACGTGAAGAAGGTGACTCCAGCCCAGAAAATATTGAATGGCAGTGAAAAAAAACTAATTTGAAAAATTTTGATACCTTAAAGCCAAGCCATCCATGATAAACTAATTACTCCAATTTCTCGTCTATCATTCAAATGACAGAAAAAATAAATTTCACTTTTTGTAACTTGATCACTGCCAACAATTTAAGATATTAATCAATAAAATCAATGCTTAACAATTCTGACAGTTCCCTTGTAAGAACTTTGATGCGTTAAATTCAAGTCAAAAGATTTAACTCAACCTTTCCTCATTGAAATCTTTTCAATTTAAGAAAAAATTCTGGGATTCTAATTGTACGATACTTGAGAAAGTGGAGATTTTTCAAGACAAAGGTTTAAATCAAGTCAAAAACTTGATTTAATTTGAATTTTCAACTAAAAAAAGTATCAAATTAGTATCGATACCATTTTTCAAAGTATCGATACGTATTGCTCAGTGAAATATCAATACTATTGCTCGTATCGATAGTATTAGTGCAACACTAACATCAAGTCAGTAAAACATTACTTCTTGTTAAATAACAAGGAACACAAAAAGAGACGCAAATGTTGCTTCCAGTGCAACTCACAAAACTGGACTAGCTATTGTTTATTTTTTATCATACTTACAAGAGTGAGAAAACGGTTATGAATGTCAATGTTTATTTAAAGGAAAATTTCCAAGAAATTATGAAAAGAGATGAAACAGAGAAAATGATCAAATTATCCTTGCAAAGTCAAAATTAATGATCATTGCATGGTTAAGTTAAAGTAAAGTTAAATGAGTTTAGCGTTGGTTCGAGTCAGAGACAATCTGTGTGGTTTTAATTGTTAAATTAAGGATCATGTTATGTTTTGGAAGACAGAAAGATGACTCTGATTTCATTGTTAATTGAGTCTTTTTTATGATGTTAGTATGTAGTTAGAAAGTGAATGAAATGCGCTTTCTAACAATGTCTTCATCGTATCTCTAGTTAGTTTGGTTGAGGAGGAATAAGTAGATCTTTGATTACTTATTTAATGATTGAAAAGATTGAGATTTTATATTTTAACCGTTTATAACATGAGAACGGATCAAGTTAAAGGAATGAACGATACACCATTAAAGAACTCTTCATTATTAATAGCTCTCACTAATTAGAACTCTCAGCAACGAAACATGAATCAAAGTTGCAATATGAGTAGTTCTGATTATGAACATGGTGTCTCAGAGTTCAGTTTTGGTGATGAAAAGTTAAATTTTGAAAAATTTTAGTAATCATGTCATATACTGAGGTAGTGACATGTTATTAATGAATGGTAAGTTAGATCTTGTTTATAATGAACTAACTGGTCTGTTTTAACCAACATATTCCACCCAAGTTGTGCTTATGTTATGAAGTTCAAACCACTTCTCAACTAGGGATAAAATTAGCGGAATCACCCTGTGCAGATAATCCAAAAGAGCAAATTGCGAGATAAATATTGATAGGATTGAGGAAAATCATTCTGCAAAAAATAAATCTCAGTTCAAGTCAAGAACCATAGGAAGCACTGAATAAGCAAAAACGGAAACACGCCTAATTACACTATCAATGAATTTCTGCGTCTAACAAAAAATCGTTCGCGTTTGGATTACGAAAAAAAGAGCACAGGCTCATCTACTTTATTGCGGTGAATTCAGAAAAATACTCTAAAAGGGGCTTTAACTATTTTCCAATGCAATCGTTAAGATATAACATATTTTTTCTGGGATGATGAAGCTTCACCACATTGTGCAGAGTCCCGTACAACACTATCTCCATGTGCATAAATTGGAAAACAGAAATCAGCCGTACCAACCTGAATTTAGACTGTTTTAGCATTTTTTCAGTCTTCAAAAGCTAAAGTTTATAGAGAACAATAACAAGCTACTAATTATCATCAATTGAACGAATGAATTACAAAGTAATGTAAGTTGTACCTTAGAGCATTCGACTCCGATTATTTTGAATATTTCATGAGCCGAACAAAGTCAGATAAGCTACTTAACATGGACATTTTCCTAGCAATCTAGTGAAGGGTAGATGCTTATCTGAACTGTTCGATGTATTGGTTTTCAATTCCTAAATTAGCTTTCATAAGCTCTAATTTATTCAATTTCTTTAACTTATTGTCACTTTTTTCAACTTTAATTATGCTTTTTCTATTGCTCTAGCAATCTTCAAATTTTACTATTTCTGATTTCTTTGTTTGTTTGCTTTAAAATTCCAGGTGAAGCTCTTATGAGCTCTAATACCTCAAATCTGACCACAATATGACCGCAAAATCTGGTCAAAACAAGTCTTAAATTTCAGCTCAAAATTAAGTGCACAAAAGAAAGAGTCTCCAGTTTTCCTTTCTTTTCTACATCTTATCTTGATTGTGACTGTTAATCCTTTTGCCTTAGCAAAGGCTACAGTTACAAATGGGGTAAAAGAGTTGTCTCGAGACAATACTGTCTAGAGTGACAAAGATGCCTAAAAAGTGGCGTCATAGCTTTCTTAGCTTTAATTATTAGATTTTGCCCAAAACACTAAAATAGACAAACAAAGACAGAGATTTCCTTTATCTTTCTAATTTTTCCCACCAAAATTAATCTCTTTGTGTTACATTTCATATAAAAAAGATATCTTTAGATATTTTCATTAGCTGTTTAAAATTTGCTCAAAGCAATCAGTTCAATTGCTGTTAAACTTAACCTTATTGTTCAAAGCTCTTTGAAGCTATTTCTTATTCTTGTAAAAGTTACAGTTTTCATATTCATAGATAAGTTAACCTCTATTTCTTTAACTAATTCAAGTCCAATTCAGCTCTCAAGAAGAATTCAAGTTTCCTTATTCTGTGAATCTAATACAAGATCTTAAACCTTCGCGGTACAAGGGTAAAGCTGCGAATAATCGTGTAACCATAGCTAAAGCTATCTAATTCATCTCTTTGAGATCTCTAACTTCCGTAGTGCAATTGCTGAACAATTGGTCTAACAGCGATTCGGTGTGAGTCCATGATGCGGACTTAAAACTTGTAGTGAAAGCAAGTTGTGCAGTCTTCTGGAAGTTCTGAACCTTTCCCGAGCATAACCCTCTCACTAGCATGACAACGATAAGAAAATTAATCATTTGCGCAATTTTGTACGAAATTGAGACGAATCAAATGTCTATGAAATTGGACCAATAAAGATCAATTTTTAAGATCAATTTAATATATGGATTTAATGAAAAGATTTTGTGTAGTGTGTGAGTGTGTTACTTAGAGGTTACGACAGTTAAATTTGACAAAATGGCTGAGAAAGTTCGCTTTTTTATTGAAAATATAAAGGAAAATCTATTATGGCTCATAGATCCAGAAAATATTTCAGAAATCGGAACAATTAAAGTTATTCATTTGTTTGAAAAATTGTTCAGTCTTTTTGTGAGTCGTCGAGGTGGACTACAGCAAACCTTGGAACAGCCAATCAAGATTAAATTTCATGTGATAAATTGGCTCACACGATTTCTCAGCTTATTCTTCATGGTTCGTTTGTGTCTCTTCATCTTTACCCACAATAGTTATCTTGATTTGTTCTTAGGAAATCCTTTTAGCAACAAGGATGGCAAGCAAAATGCTGTCCTACTGCACATCTTTTTCATGTGTGCATACGTTTATGGTTTGCGTGAGTACACTTTACGGCTAGAAGAAACTGGTCGACTAAAAATTATAAGAATAATTTTAATGTTGGAGGAACGGGGTTTCAATGCTGAAGAATTGAATATGAACTATCATCGTTGTAAACAGTTCCAAAAATGGTGTCATTATATCTTTACTTACAACTTTATGAGTATTATATGTTCTTCTAGTTTGGTTATATTAATTGACATATATTCACGATGTTCACAAGCCACTTATCAGTTATCTTTCATCATAGTTCAAGTGATACATGTGTTCGTTGAAGGAATAACTCTTTTTTTGATAGCTATAAATGGCATTTGTTCAACTACTTACGTTTTAGTAATCTTCATTTTTTTCATTAGACGCTTCAATACATTTAATGATTCATTAGCGAAACTCAATTTAAGAAGCTCTATGAATGATTCTATTTTAACTAAACTAAATTATCAGCTAACAGAACTTTTAAACAATATTGGCCAATGGAATAGCGATTTCAAGTACTTGTTTCAATATTGTGTTATAGCTAGCTCTTTTATCAGTAATTTTGCTTGTTTCGTTGGTTTTCTTTATGGCTTTTCACCGGGCGCTATGACAAGAACTGTGGCCATTTTTGGCATTTCGCATCACATGCTAGTTTTCATTGGGACCTATTTAGCCTCAACAATCCATTCTGAGGTGAGTTTAACTTTGTTATCAAATTGTTATCTTTCATGAACTTTCGTCACTTTCTTTAGTCCATCAAGATTCGAAGATGCTATTGCAAACTATTGTCAAAAGGGAAACTTAATGAAATGATATTTCAATTAAAAGTAAGTGCCACATAAATTGATATTTGGAAAAACTAATCAAATGATTTCCTCACTAGTCAATAGAAATTTTGGATCGTCTTGATAGCAATACAATTGGGATTCACTTGGGTGATTTCGGTATTGTTAAACGATCCAATTGTATCATTGTAAGTGTAAATCGCCTTATCTTCACGCAAAATGTTGCGGCGCTTTTAGCTATGTATTGATCGATGCGAGCACTTCTTTAAGTTATCAGTCAACTCAGCAAAAGCATATAGCTGCGAATTTTATATGAATAACTCCTCAGAAAATGCAAATTTCCATCTTATTTTTATATAGGAATACTTTAGATAAGCTTTCGATTGATAAATGGTTCAATTCTCGCCGAAAATCGGACATTTTGGCTATCCTCCTTTGCGGAGTTTGAAATAAATCAATTGCAAGAGAAATTTTAAAAATAAAATATTTGAAAAAAAGTCGAAAACATAAAAAATAGTACTCTGGAGGTTCTAAGTGTGAAGCAAATGTGTCGTTATTCAGTTAATATATTTGAAGTGCCATCAATTCATAAAAGCTATTCTCTATTAATCTGCGTCTCACACATTTATTTGCTTTTGAATTCACTGTTGATGATGATTATGATCTTTTCTTTACAGTTATTATTGGAAAATGCAAGCTTCCTCATGCTTTTATCATGCAATGTACGCTCATTCAATTGATTCAGTCGGCATGCTCAAATCACCAAAAATTGCTTCTTTCGATGTATTAATGTGTTATTACATTGGTCCAATATATTTTCTGGCATATTTGACGTTTGCATGAGAATTGAAAAATTAAATGATGTTTCGATAATTTAAATTATTACATTGATTCGACTACCTCTTCTATGTCCATCACCATTTATCGATTTGTGATTGAAATGAATAGTTTTGTATCAAATACTTCAATTTGATCAATCTGTAAACAGACAATTGTACAAACTAGATCAAAATAAAGAAATGGAGTGACTAGCATGAAACTAATATGATTTTTTAATTAAAATCAGAATAATTATTATCTTTTGCTTGCAATCGAAATGCAAATTTCATTATGCTTATATCATGCAATGTTCGTGCATTTGCTTTAGTTTGAGTTGGAATAAGGATTATTGATTATCATTACCCGATAATTGATAGCATATTACTTGTTAAATAATGAAATATTCTGAAATCTTTCCAGTTTAACGATTGATCAAATATTTTACCCAAGTTTTGCTCATGTTATAAAGTTCAAACTATTTTATCCTCTCAACTAGGCATGGAATTAGATTGGCGGAATGATGGAATGGAATCGAACCTTTCTTGAAAACAGATATCAATACTCGGAAAGGGAAGACTTTTTCTCAAGCCTAAATCCCTTTTTCACTGAAAACGCTATTGAAAGTTTTCTCAACCATATTTGAACTTGCTTAAAATTAATGAACATGGCTAATTGCTAACATTTAAAATTTAAAAATATTTTAATAGTAAAATATAATAATTGTCGGAAGAATAAGCTTGTAAATGGAAGCATTCTTGATAAATTTTGTAGTACAGCCTTAAGCCCGCTCATGTAAATCATGAAAACTGTTAATAAATTGGAAAAAAACATTAATTAGCCATGTTCATTAATTTAAAGCAAGTTAATTTCCAGAGACTTGATTGTCCACAGATGCCGCTCAACATTTTAGCTATTTAAGCTTCTTCTTAGGTCAAACAAGCTGCGGCTTAGCGTGAAAAAAGTGTGCTTGCAGACTTTCTTACAACCTTACCAGCAAGGTAAAATGAAGTCGTATTGTATTGTATGGTAATGTTTATTTCCCTTTAGGACAGAATTTGAATGATTTACATGATTGATCGTCGTCACAAATAGCTGAACATTGGTCCAAATCTAAATAAATTTCTGTGCATGAGACTTGCCATTCTGTTTCTGTATATTTTTTTGAGCTTTTGGTTGCGAAAAAACTGTGCTTCTATTGTGACTTGCCAGACACGCAAACATAGCAGGAGTCAAGATTAAAATCCGGTGCCGTTAATAAGAAGCTGTCGCAATCTGAAAATTTCCTTCCTTCCTCTCTGTTCTCTTTCATTCTCATTTGATTAGCTCATACTGACTACGCCATAAAAGCCACTATGAGAGTTAAAGTCTAGGTAGATAACTTTTATTACAGGGAAAATTGAATTGATAGCTGTATTTGTTTCTTGAAAATCTATCATGCAAACGATAAGAAAATTAAGAAAATCATGTGCAAAGTTTTTGTGCAAAATTGAGACGAATCAAATATCTATTATGATATTGACGTAATAAAGATCAATTTCAATTTATGGATTGAATACGAAAGATTTTGAGTAGAGGTTACGGCATTTGAATTTGACAAAATGGCTGGAAGAGTTCGCTTTAACACTGTGAATTTAAAGCAAAATCTATTATTGCTAATGGATCCAGAAAATACTTCAGGAATCGGAACAATTAAAGTTATTCATTTGTATGACAAACTGTTTAGTCTCTTCGTGAGTCGTCGAGGTGGACTACAGCAAACCTTGGATCAGCCAATCAAGACTAAATTTCATGTTATAAATTGGCTGACACGATTTCTTATCTTATTCTTATTGTTTCGTTTGTGTCTAGGCATCTTGACTAACAATTATTATCATGATTTATTCTTAGGAAACCCTTTTAGCAACAAGGATGGCAAGCAAACTGCCGTCCTAATGTACATATTTTTCATGTGTGCATTTGTTTATGGTTTTCGTGAGTACATTTTACGGCTAGAAGAAACTGGTCGATTAAAAATAATAAGAATACTTTTAATGGCGACAGAACGGGGTTTCAATGCTGAATTATTGAATATGAACTATCATCGTTGTAAACAGTTTCAAAAATGGTGTCATTATATTTTTATTAGCAGCTTTGTGACTATTGTCTGTTCTTCTAATATGGTAATATTTATTAGCATATATTTACGAGGTTCACAGGCAACTTATCAGGTATCTTTCATCATGGTTCATATGATTTATGTGTTCGTTGAATGGATAACTTTTTTGTTGATTGCTATAAGTGGCTTGTGTTTAACCTGTTACCTTTTAGTAATCTTCACATTTTTCATTAGACGTTTCAATACATTTAATGATTCGTTAGCGAAACTCGATTTAAGAAGCTCTATGAATGATTCAATTTTATCTAAACTAAATTATCAGCTAATAGAACTTTTAAACGATATTGGTCAATGGAATAACGATACAAAGTACTTGCTACAATATTGTATCATAGTCAGCTCTATTATTAGTAATTTTGCTTGTTACGTTGGATTTCTTTATGGCTTTTCACCTGGCACCATAACAAGAACTGTGACCACTTTTGGCCTTGTGCATCACATGCTAGTTTTCATTGTGGCCTATTTAACCTCACTAATCCATTCTGAGGTGAGTCCAACTTTTCATCAAACTGTTGTCTTATGCTAAATTTTGCTAAATCTTTAGTCCATCAAGAGTCAAAGATTCTATTGCAAACTATTGTCAAAAATGAAAGTTCATCGATTGAAATTTCAATTAAAAGTAAGTGCCATACAAATTGATACTCAGTATTTTCATGTAAAAAATAATCAAATGCTTGATTCTCTCAATAGTCAATGGAAATTTTGGATCGCCTTGACAGCAATTTAATTGGAATCCACTTCGGTAATTTCGGTATTATTAGACGATCTACTTGCATCATTGTAAGTACGAATCACCTTATCCTCACGCAAAATGTCACGGCGCGTAGTGATCGATGAGAGCACTTCTCTAAGTTATCTAAAAGAGAAATTTTAAGGGTACAGGGGTATAAGGGTTGAGTTAACAAAATAGGCCCAGAGTTAAGCTAATTATCAGGTGTAGCCATCTCGGTCATAATCGGTTTTCAGAGAAACTAGACAATAGAGAAATGGACAAAATTAAATTCGATCTTAAAGGTACTTTTATTTCTTGTTGGAGCCGACTATGAAAAAAATCTCGACTTTCGTTAACTTAAGTCTAATACCTACTGTATTTGACCATAAACAATAATTCTTATGAGTTTCCAAGTTGGAAGCAAATGTGTCGTTATTCAGCAAATATATTTGAAGGACCATGACTTTATAATAGCCATTCTCCATTAATCCGCGACTCACACACTTTTTTGCTTTTGAATTCACTGTAGAAGATGATTGCGATCTTTTCTTTGCAGATACTATTGGAAAATGCAAGCTTCCTCATGCTTCTATCTTGCAATGTACGCTCATTCAATTGATTCAGTTGGCATAATCAAAGCACCAAAAATTGCTTGCATAATATTACATGAGTCCAATATATAATACATGTATTTTCTGTTATCTTTTGACGTATGCATGAGCATTGAATAATTAAATGATGTTTCGATAATTTCAATTGGCGCAAATTAATTCGACTAACCTCTTCTATGTCCTTTACCATTTATCGATTTGTAATGAAAGATTTCGCACATTGAAATGAATAGTTTTGTATCAAATACTTCTATTTGATCGATTTGTAAACAGACAATTGTACAAACTAGATCAAATAAAGAAATGGACTGGCTAGCATGAAACTAATATGATTTTTTTAATATAAATCACAATAATCATTGTGATCTTTTCTTTGCAGTAAAAGCAAGTTTCATTATGCGTCTATCATGTAATGTTCGTGCATTTATTTGTTTCAGTTTGAGTTGGAATAATGATTATTGATTATCATTATCCGGACATTATAAACACTACCTTTTTCCTCGAATCGAATGACCCTTTCCCCTCTTCAACAGCTTGATTTGAGTAACAACATCGGTAACTTGAAAAGCAACAGGCTTGGTGGTAAATTCAAATTAAATCTATCAATCACAAAGAATATAAATTATAAACAAAATATATACCTTCATCAAAATTCATATTAAATGCTATGTGTCCAAAGTAACCTAGTACATAGTCATGTAAATCTAATGGCGATTTTTCTCGGCCTAATCTTTTCAGTCTTCTGTATCGGCATACATAAGACACGAAGTTCCTGTGTTATATTCCTTTACATCTTTCGCTTTGGAAGTGCTAAAACAAAGCTTCCCATCTTGACCATAGATAATAACATTGTTGAATAAAATAAAAAGAAACCAGAATGAGGTGTCAGTCAAAAGTAAACATTACTTGCAACAATACAACTTACGCTCCAAACAATGAGGATATTGAAGGCACTTTTCAATACTATCAGCAACAGTCAAAGCTTCGAGAAAAGTAACACCAACTTCATATCTAATAAACTAAAAGACTACTAAGTTGTATCAACAATTAACAATCAAACAATATTTAATTGATTCAATTTAAGACTTACTGCAGTTGATAATTGAACAATTGAACATCAGCTAAAGTATTATACATGTATGTTCATTGAAAAAATTTTTGGAAGTTTAATATATAAAAGTTATTAAAATCACGCACATTAAAATTTGACACTTTTCCGACTTTGACAATTTACCACTAAACACCCTGTTTTCAGAAATTTTTCAAAGTAGCTCCATATAAAACTTTGACATTTGTTCTATCGTATGGCATAAAAAAAGCCTCTCTAGCATCCGTAGTTGCTGAGTAATAAATGCGGTGATGAAGGGATAGTTCATCCGAACACCTAGAATTGCTAAGTTTTCTCAGTTCAACATGTAATGCATTATGTGGTATATCAAATCGATAATTGACAATCAATTGTATCAACTCAATAATGCATGAGACTGAGGTGATAATCGACAATTGATATAATTGACTGTGCTTGAATAAAATGAAGATTTCTTTTTTTGTAAGTTACTCAATCTAGCATGGAACAAATAATAAAATAAAATGATTAAATTGTC